CAAGTGCTGCCAGAGGTTTCCTTTCATTTGTGAAAGGCCTAAATTCTTAAAGTGTGTGTGATGTTTGTAAATGTATTTAAAGGAGCTTATAGCAGAATCCTTTAGGATATACTGAGTGTTGTATAGGTATTGGTCTCTGAGACTAATTTTCCCTTGGGTTCAGCGTTTGATTAAGAAAACCCAGAATCATGTTATAGGAGGCTGTTACTGCACCACAGGGCTTTTGTTATACTCTGTTATAAAGGTATTTAAGGAATTGTGCACAATTTTGCTATTCCAGTGCACAGGTTGGACACTGAGTGGTGCAGAATTAAAGTGAGAGGACAGATAACTTTCTTTTACTGTCAGCTGTTGAAAATCCTTCCCATGCAGCAAAGATGTGCCTGGTATTACTGGACACTTGTGATGACTTTAAACTCCTTTGTATGGTGTAGTATTTCTTGTCTGTTTTGACATTTGGACAGTTCATTTTTTTTCCTTTCTAAATGCCTGACTTCACTAGCATTGCACTTGAATGGAAGAATGGTCCTTTTAGGGAGGAATGTGCTACTGTACCTCTCCTATTTGTTTTTTTTCTCCTGCATTCTAACCATCATGGTCAGTTTTGTAGACCATTTTCTCTTACATGCAAAAGCTTAAATACTTGGCTGACCACAGCAGCTGCTCTGAGGACTAAACTGGAGTCAGCCAAGACCTCCCCATTTCCTGGTAAGTGACAAACGAGTGATTTACTTCTAGTGCTCTTTTCTGCCCTCTCTAAGTTGCCACTGTATATATACACTATAAAATTGTAGCAGAAGCAACTGTATCTATTTGACATAAGCAATAAAAGATGAAAAGTTCATTTCAGGCTCACATTCACTGACGAGCATTCCACAAATACTGAAGTTTAGGTTAGGCCTACAAGCTCCCCCTGAAGGGATGATATTCCACATGATTCTCTAGAAGGAAAGTGCATATTTTCATGTGACTTGGGTCTGCTCTTGAGTGTGGGTTTGTTGTTCCTACAGGAAGCTGATCTCAGAGAATGCTGGATTGTGTCTCCCCATAAGAAAAAGCTGATGACTTGTTCTAGTTTCTATTTGTCCTCTCTTGTTATGAGGCTTCTACAGGGTTTTGATTTAGTGGGTTGTAAGACTACAAGTAGGCCATGGCAGTGGGCATTTCAGTTCAACCACAGCCTGTAGCAGTACTTTGGATATTTAGATATATGTAGTCCATTTAAATATTTAAATGCTTTCAAAAAGTGAGGCCTTTCCCTTTGGAAAAATCTCTGACTGGGTATTAGATAGGATTTCAAAGTCCAGAGCCAGAATCCTGTTGGGTAAGCAGGCACAGCTCCACTAATTTCTAATGGATCTCTGAGTTTCAGCAGCTGAACATCTGGTCCACAGTTCCCAGAACCAAAGCCATTAACCCCTCCCTGTCAGACACACCGGCCTGAGCATTGTGCATCTGAAAATGCAAATGCCTTGGGCTAGAGTTAATCTGGATTCTTTTTCTGAAGCCATTTTTGCTTTGTATTTCTGCTAATCATTATTTTATGTTGTGGGGAGAGACTTGTTTGTCCACCTTCATGCATCAGACTCTGTGGCTCTTTCAGAAAGAGTTTGCTCTCAAACAGTTAATAATTTCAACCTGTTTTCAGCTAGAATGAAGAAACTGGTTCCTCTGTATCCCTGCTTTTTATTCTTTTGTTGGCCTACTTCCCTCTGCTTGCATTTTGCATTCCTAATGCCATGAATAAATCAGGACCCAAGGATTTAGAAGGTGGTACAGCTGTAACCACTCAGAAAATTGAATCTGTGAGGCTTGTACTGCAGCTCTAACAACTGCCAATATGTGTGCTCCTGAACTCTTCCAACATTTGACCAGTACCGAAATAAAATTCACATTGTTTTTTATGTAATGTTTAAGACTTCTTTTCTGCCTCTACCCAGTGTCTCCTGACTTGGATCCCTTTGTCTTTAGGTCAGAGTTATAAGCCCTTTAGGGCCAGGTAATCACCTCCTGGCTGCTGTGCCAAAATGGCTTATCACAAGTCTTTGTACAGAGGGGACAAGAATATGGGAAACTGAGGGAACTGACCTGGGGAAGGGTTCGTTTTCCCTACGGAATCACAGCACAGCGAAACTCCTGTTTGGCTGTTGTCCTAGATCTTCTGATAACTTGTCATCAATAATACACACTGGACTGGTTTTATTTGTAGCTTTGAAAGTGTGTAAGGGAGCTCTTTATGTGCTCTTTAGTCAGGGGATGTATCTAGGCTGGGTGAAAAACAACAGGTATTGGTAACAAGCTCTGCACAACAGATATCTTGAAAGAACAAAGTCTTCAAGTATTTGCATCCAGGAAAGATGATTTATGTTGTGCCAATGGGTTTTCCTCATGGCTCTGCTTAAAATAAAAATAATGATTATGGTGTGATGAAGGTTTGATTTCACTAAACCTTTCTTTTGCCTTTTATGACCTTCTTAGCACTTGGCGATATGGTTTTTGGCACAGGATTCCTGAGAACTTTAGCTGTTAAAATAACTCCCAATTTGGCAAGAGAGGTATTGATAATGTTCAGTAAGGTGCAAATCTTGTGAGGATACCTCTCTGCCTCTCAGTTTCTTGTTTGTAGGAGTAAAAAGTGCATACCAGAGGGTAAGATTTATATAAGAAATGCCTTAATCTCTATTTTCAGGCTCACTACAGTCTTGTAAAAAGGTAGAAACTGAAACAGTTGCTCTTAAAAAAAAAAAAGCTGCAGGTACTTCCACAGACTCTAAATGCTATTTTAACCTTGACAGCATTTAGAAATATGTAGGCTCAGACATGATCCTGTTCTGCAGCTTAATGAGGGAATATGCATCAGGCAAGCTGTGGTACCTGCCAGAAACGTGACACAGGATATGGACTGTTCCAGCACGGCCCAGGTGAAGGGATATTTAAGTTGCTGTATCTTGACTGAGCTTCAGGCACTGGGTTTAGGTTGTAAATTAGAACAGACACTTTGAAAAATTTTGTTCTCCACCTAAATCATTTGGGCTCTTCCTTTATAGAATGCAGGGAGAAGCTTCTTGTGTCTATATTTTTATATGCAGCTGTGTCCCCATGCAGTCTGACTTGCTCTCCTCCAGTGTCTGTGCTGCCTGTGAGCCTTGAGTGTGATCTCTGCAGGAAGAGGCTGCTCTCTGCAGGTTTCCTCCCAACATTCTCCCTAGAGTCTCTAGGCCTCTAACATTCCCATCATGGTTTGTTGTACACGGATCACTAAGCAGTTTCCTTTCTCTTAGGGCACCTCTGCTCTATGTCAAAGTGA